GAAGGTCATTGCACTACAGGCCTACCTCAAGAAACAAGAAAAATTCCTAATTGATTTTCTAACTCTACAATACAAAGAACTAGAAAGTAAAGAGAAAGAAAGTTCACTCTTTTTAAAACTTCATATTTTATCTTTATTATTGAAAGTATCCTAGATGTTCTTTGTTTTTCCCCCATTAATGTCCTCCTGTCAATTCCCAACCCCCTCCTGCCTTCCCTATACTCTTGTCTGTGTCCATTGGTTATGCATATACGCCTATAAGTTGATTGGTTTATTTCTTCATGAATTCCATCTTGTTAGGTTGTATGTTTCTAGAAATTTATATATTTCTTCTAGATTTTCCAAATTGCTGGCAAATAATTTTCATTATAGTCTCTTAAGATCTTTGTATTTCTACAGCATCAATTGTAATTACTCCTGTTTATTTCTCATTTCATAATTTATTAATACATTTATTAATACATTTATTAATTTATAATAAATAAATTTAATTTTAATAAGTTATATTTATAATTTTTAAATTTCTAATAGGAAATTTTACTTTAAAATATCTCCTCTCTTTGTTATTTAATCTAGTTAAAGTTTTGTCATTTATTATGTTTTCAAAAGACAACTCTTATTTTTATTGACCTTTCCTTTGTTTTACTATTTTCCCTCTTATTTACATCTGCTCTAATTTTTATTAATGTTTAATTTGCTAACTTTGGGTTTAGTTTGTTCTTTTTCCAGTTCTTTGCAGTAAAAAATGTTATTTTTTTGAAATCTTCCTTCTTTTTTAAAAATTGTTTTTCTTATTGATTTTTAGAGAGAGGAAAGGAGAGCAAGAGAGAGATAGAAACATCGATGAGAAAGAACATCAATTGGCCGCCTCCTGCATGCCCCCCCACTGGGGATTGGGCCCACAACCTGGGCATGTGTCCTGACTGGGAATCGAACCAGGGACCTCATCCACTGAGCCACACCAGTCGGACTCGCCTTTCTTAATGTAGATGTAAACCTCCCTCTTAATACTGCTTTTGCTACATCCCATAAATTTTGGTACATTGTGTTTTCATCTTTGATTGTCTCAAGATTTTTTTAAAATCCCGTTTCTATTTCTTTTGTGTTTATCTTAGTCTGTTCAGACTGCTATAACAAAAACATCATAGACTGGATTGCTTACAAACAACACAAATTTATTTCTCACAATTGAGGCTGGGCAGTCCAAGATCAAGGCACCAGCAGATTTGGTGTCTGGTGAGGTCCTGCTTACTGGTTTATAGATAGCTGTGTTTTTATTGTGACCTCGCATGGTATAAAAAGCAAGGACGCTTTCTGGTGTCCATTCATTAGGGTTTTCCTCCATGACATAATCACTTTCCAAAGGCCCCAGCTCCAAATAACATCATACTGGTATTAGATTTCAACAAACCTAATGATTTTGGGGGTGCATATACAATTTATAGCATTGCTGTTTAATTTCAACATAATTTTAAGTTGTCTAATGTTCCTCTTAATTTCTAGTTTTATACCATTTTAGTCAGAAAAGATAGTTGATATAATTTGAATCTTAATTTTGTTAAGACTTGTTTGTGGCCTAACATGATCTATCCTGAAGGATGCTCCATGTGTTCTTGACAAGGATGTGTATTCTGCTATTCTTGAATGCAATGTTTTATACAAGTTTGTTAGGGCCATTTGCTCTATAGTTTTGTTCAGGTCCACCATTTACCTTCTGATTTTCTGTCTGGATGTTCTACTCATTGCTGGTAGTAGAGTAATGAAATGTCCTACCATTATTGTATCACTCTTTATTTCTTTCTTCAGTTCTCAGGATATTTACTTTATGTAATTAGGTTCTCTGAAGTTGTGTGCATATATATTTATAATTATATTCTAATTATGTGAATTAACACTTTTAACATTATGTAATTACAGTTTTTGACTTATACTCTATTTTTCCTAATATATGTATATCCCCCACCCCTTTCTTTTGGTTACAATTTGCATGGTATATGTTTTTTCTCTCTTTACTTTCCATCTATGTGTATCTTTAAAGTTAAAGTGCAACTCTTACAGACAGCTTTTCTTTTGGTTGGATCTTGCTTCTTTATTCATTTTGCCACTCTTTATTAGACAGTTTATTTATATTTGAAGTAATTTTTATATAAAAAGATGCCCGTTGCATTTTGTTTATTGTTTGTTGTCTATTATATATTTTTCTGTTTTAATTTTCTTGCTTGCTGTCCTCTCTTGTGATTTGATTATAAAAATCTGCACAGTAGAAATGGAAAGTTGTTCAACAGGTATATAATCACAGCATTACAAGCTGAATAAGTTGTAGAGATCTGCTCTACAACATAGTGTCTATAGTTAACAATACTATATTGTACACTTAAAAACTTGTTGAAGAGGGTAGACCTCATTCTAAGTGTTCTTAACACATATGCATACATACATTCACACACACACACAACACATACTCAGCCATACACATAAACGAGAAGTGGACACTAAATCTTTTGGAGGTGATGGGTATGTTTCTACTTTGATTGTTGTAATGATATCAAAACTCATCAAAATGTATATAATAAGTATATGCAATTTTGTATATTAAATATTCCTCGGAAAAAGCTGAAAAAATAATATTTGACCTTTTTATTAGTCAAGGTTCTCTGGCAAACAAAATCAATAGGTTAGATAGATGATTAGAGATATAGATATTTATCATGAAGGATTTGTTTCAATAGTTACGGCCACTGACAAGTCCTACAAAGTGTTATGTGTAACCTGGAGGCCTAGGAAATGGAACAGTATAGTTCCAGTATATACCCGGATACCTGAAAATCAGGGTGAAAGTCCTGATCTGAGTCTGAAGGCGCAAGAAGCAGGAGCATCCATGTCTGCTGTCCAACGGTGGGAGAAGATGGGTATCCCAGAGACACTTATTTTCAGAGAGCACATTTGCCCTTCCCTTGCCTTTTTGTTCTATTAAGGGCTTCAACATTTTGAATAATAACCACTTTCATTGGTGAAGCCAATCTTTACCTAGCAATTCCAATGCTAATCTCTACTAGATACACATTCATTTACCCACTAAGTAAGAATTTTCTACAAGACAGATTGACACCTTAGTTAAGTTACCAGATAAATTAAACCATCACAATGATACAGCCTTTTGTTTGAAATCTATAGAGCAGGCCAACAGGCTGAAAACTGAGGTAAGTTTTCTGTTACGGTCTTGAAACAGAATTCCTTCTTCAAGAAATTTCAGTGTTTTTTTTGTTTGTTTGTTTGTTTTTTTTTTTTTTGCTTTAAAGGCCTTCAATTGGTTGAATGAAGCTTACCCACATTATAGATGTTAATATTCTTTATTTAAATTAATTTTTGAAATGTTAATGGCATCTACACAATCCTTCCGAGTTAACAGCTAGATTAGTGTTTGACCAAAAAACTGAGGAAAATAGCTTATCCACATTGACAGATTATGAATTGACAGATTACATAAATCTTCTCAATCTAAATTTAAAAAGAAGAAAGATTTCTATAACTTAACCTTTCAACTTATCACACTGGAAAAAGAAGAGCATACTAAGTCAAACAGAAGAAATAAAATGAAAAAAAAAATAGTGCAGAACTTATTAAAATAAAGAATTGAAATACAATAAAGAAATATATGAAACCAAAAGCTGGTTCTTTTAAAAAGTTAAAAAAAAGAGGTTATTACTACCGACCTTACAAAAATAAATAAAAATAAATAAATAAATAAATACTATGAATAATGGTTTGCTGTAGAAAAGGTAAATAAAATGTATTATATCTAAACAATAAAAAACCTTGAAGCCAGTGTGGTAAATGAATGAAACTAGTTACAAAGGCCTCATATTATGTTTCCATTTATATTTAAAAACAGAGAAAATAAATCTGTGGTAACAAAGATATATTAATGAAGTTCAGGGCTCACAGAAGGGAGGTCTGAAAGATTGACAGCTAAAGAGAATAAAGTTGCTTTTTGAGTGAGAAAATGTTCTAGCCCTGGCCAGTCTGGCTCAGCGGTTAGAGCATCAGCCCACAGACCAGGGAGTCCCGGGTTCGGTTCCCGCTAAGGGTTACAGTTTGTCCCCGTCCCAGTTGGGGTCATGTGGGTGGCAACCAGTTGATGTGTCTCTCTCACACTGATGTCTCTCTCTCTCTCTTCCTCCCTCTCTTCCTCCCGCTCTATCTGAAGATAAATACAAAAATGTCCTCGGGTGAAGATAAGAAAAAGAAAATGTTCTAAAATTGACTTTTGTAATGTTTACCCATATCAGTGAATATACTAAAAGTCACGGAAATATACACTATAAATGAGTAAATGTATTATATGTGAACATTATCTAAATAAAGCTGTTAAAAACAAGAAAACAAATATGAGCACTTCTGGAACTGGATTATGAGCATCTTCGCTCCAATCTGAACCTGTGTCTCATGCTTAGTTTTTTCCCCTTAACAAAGGGAAGGATATTTTTGTTATCTCACAAACAGCAGCTCAGCTGATCATAGATTCTAGTTTTTTTTGGGGGGAAGGCAGAATGCGGGGGCGGGGGATTCCATAGCTGGGCTTACTCACTTGGTTCTAAGGCTAGAACTTTCTTTCAAGTTCACAGAGTTTCCAAAACTATCCATAGGTATGGTTTGCCTTCCTCTGTTTCACACTTGTAGTACTGGTATCTCAGAAACCCCACCCCTTAAATCCCTGTGATGCTTTCTGAGGACAAGTGTTGCCTTGACGACATTGTTACATAGGAATAATCATCAGTGAAGTAGCCTCAGCAGGCCTTGGGCTGTCTTCAAGAGAACAAGATTCATGGGTTGAGAATGGGGTGTTCTGGGGAACTGAGGACAGCCTACTAGCTTCACCTGAGTGGCAACCTGAGAACTTTGGCATCTTGTGGTTTTAGAACTTCCAGAGGTGCCTATTATTTCTCCTAGTAGTCAAGTGTTTCTTATATTGGTGAAGTTCAGAAGAACATTCTGCAGATATGTTTACCCCATACATATTAGATATTCCAGCTGTAATTTTTGACAATGGATCGGGACTCTGCAAAGCTGGCTTGTCTGGAGAGACTGCACCCCATCATATCATCAGTTCTGTTGTGGGTCATCCCCAGTTTGACATGTCTTTATCAGAACCCTATCAGAAAAGCTACATTGTGGGCGAAAATGCCCTGTACAAGTATAAGGCCTTACATCTTCACTACCCCATTGAGCGTGGACTGGTAACAAGATGGGATGACATGGAGAAACTCTGGAAATATCTTTTTGAGTGGGAGCTAGGAGTAAAATCCTCTCAACATCCTGTACTCATGACTGAGACGTCCTTGAACCCAAAGGAGACTCGAGAGAAGACGGCAGAAGTAATGTTTGAGAACTTCAATGTGCCTGCCTTCTACCTGTCCAACCATGCAGTGGTAGCACTCTATGCCTCTGCATCTGTCACGGGCCTTGTGGTTGACAGTGGGGAAGGAGTCACTTGCACTGTTCCCGTCTTTGAGGGTTACTCCCTGCCTCATGCTATCACCAAGCTCGAAGTGGCAGGGAAGGACATCACAGAGCACCTCACCCAGCTACTCCTTACTAGAGGGAGTACCTTCCCTTACATATTCAACAAGGACTTAGTGGATGACATCAAAGAGAAGTTGTGCTATGTGGCCTTGGATCCAGATAAGGAGCTATATAAGAGGCCAGAGGAGGTCCTGAGAAAATACACACTGCCAGATGGGAATGTTATTTACATCGGGGACCAGCTGTACCAGGTGCCTGAGATTCTTTTCACACCTCACCAGCTAGGCATCCACAGTCCAGGACTATCAAAAATGGTTGCCAGCAGCATTATGAAGTGTGACACAGATATCCAGAGGAATCTTTTTGCAGAAATTGTACTATCTGGGGGCACCACTCTCTTCCCTGGGCTTGAGGAAAGACTTCTGAAAGAACTGGAACAGCTGGCTTCCAGAGGAACTCCTATCAAGATCACAGCTTCTCCTGATAGGTGTTTCTCTGCATGGATAGGGGCATCCATCATGACTTCTCTGAGTAGTTTCAAACAGATGTGGATAACTTCTGAAGAGTTCATGGAGTTTGGGACATATGTCATTCAGAGAAGATGCTTTTAAAGAATCCACAGCACAAGGAACCGCTTGAAGTGTCGGATCACAAAAACACTGAATGAAGGTGAAATCTTCCCATGGTGTTCGATAAAAGTGATGTGACATTTTGGGTTTCAGTTCTTTTTTTGTTGGCACCAGAGTAATTACTGATCCAAGTAGTGAATGTTCTTTTTTTTTTTTTTTTTTTTTGGTCAAGGGTTTTCAAACTGGGCTTGTTTATTTGAGCAATAGGAGGTCCTTGAGATCCTTCATAGACACATGCAAAATATTGGCTTATTTGCATATGTACAGTTTTCTAAGGGAGGAGAATATACTTTTCAACAGATATTAAAAAACTTTCATGACCCATTACTGTTCAGCATCATCAATGAAAATACCTAAAGTTTTTCTATAGATCATAGTAAGTTTCTGTTATTATTTTATTTGTAGCTAAAAAGGTTTTTTTTAAGTTCCCATATTGAAGATACATTATTTTCTTTTTTATTGTTGAAAGTTTACAGATGTTTCCTTTTTTTCCCTATTGACCCCCTCCTTTCTGCTCCCACCCCCCAATTTTTAAAAATATTTGGTTTCTAAATGTTTTGCTTAGTTAATGCTTTTACAGCAATATTTTCTATAATTGTCATTAGTATAGTGCATATTTTTTAAGTGCTCCTATTTCACCCTTCCTTTCTCATGAACCTCTCGATTGTTTTCAGAAATCCTTGGGGTACTCTGTTCAGGCTGTATCCACTTGCAGGGTTTGTAGTAAAAGCAGGTGCTTAAGCCTCAAACCCAGTTTTTGACTCAGTAAAGTCCCTGGAATCATCATTTTAATCAAGCGTCTTAGATATTGTTGATAGATCTAGTGGGAAGGAGAGACAGAATACCAGGAAATGTGCAAGGAAGGGAGGGGAATTAAGTAGAAGGAATGCTACTCTGCTTTTAGGGATCCACAGAACCTTTCACTCAGTTGGTATTTAGTTAGCACAATAGAGCACCATATGGCTTTCTGTTGTTATGAGATCAGACAGCTAAACAGAAAGAAGCTGTTGTCCCTAGCAAAGAGGAGAGATGTGCAAAAAAATCACTAAATGTTTGAGGCTCTCTAAACTCAGGCCTCTATCACTAGTTGGAATATTAAGCATCAACACTTCTACTTGTTAGATTTTGTTTGTTTATTTGTATTTACCTTTTACTAGGGTTAAATTACTGGAAATATTTAATGGTCATCAATAAAGAAATTGTTGAATAAATTATGCATACATGAATTTCATCTCATTAATTTAGTATTATTTCCCCAAAATATTATTGGGAGAAAAAATGGAAAATTTAGAGAAGTTATTTTTAATACAATATGTTTTTTGGTAAACAAAACATTGCTGCTTTTCCATATATATATGTATGTCTGCACATTTGTATGTACATATATAAATACATATTTTCATATGATTATAAACACTTGGAGAAACCTATAAGCTACATACCGTGGGGTTTACATGGGTTGGTGGAAAAGCATTCAATGAGAGGTAATACCAATGGTAAAAACAGCAAGTGTGGAAGCAAAGTAAAAAGAAAAGGCTATACTGAAAAAGTCAGCTTGAATGAAATGAAACCACTCATCTAAAATAAGAATTCTATTTTGGACATATCTTCTCATCTCCATGTTCAGGCGTGGCGTGATGCTAGCTAGAATAAAGTCATGAAAATGATCAAACATAATAAATCTCTATAGATAGGTTATTTTATTTTTATATTTATTTTAGAGATCTGGATTAAAAACATACCTCTGTTTACAGATAACTTAGTAAAACCACAATGAAACCAGAAGATAGTAGAATGATGGCTTCAAAAAACTAGGAAAACATTACTGTCAATCTAGAACTATATGTACACTCAGGACAATTGTTCCAATAAAAGATGGTAAAATAAAGATATTTTCTGACGACTGAAAGTGTTTACTGTCAATAGGCCCTCACTAAAAAATTTTATGCAATTATTTGAAGGTTTATATAAATAATCCCAGAATAAGGTATATATGGTGTAAAAAGAACATTTAAAAAATTGTGGAAATGGAGGTAAATTTAAAAATACTGACGGTATAAATTTGTAGCAGTAACACAATAAAAAGAATGAAAATTCTGTAATAAAAATGGAGTTATGTCATGGAAACTAGAGTTAAAAATCTTTGAATATACTTCTATTTCTCAGACAAATTATTTAGTGAATTTAATTATTTAAAATGTTGAAGCTTCATAAACTACTGTAAAAAACTTAAAATAACAAAACATCAAATAATGAGTGCAACTGGAATATTAAAAGATAATTCTATTAAAAGAGTATGTCAGCCCTGGCCGGTTTGGCTCAACAGTTAGAGCGTCGGCCTGCAGTCCAGAGAGTCCTGGATTTGGTTCCCGCTAAGGGTACGTACCTCAGTTGCAGTTTGTCCCCGGCCCTGGTTGGGTCATGCGGGTGGCAACCACTTGATGTGTCCCTTGCACGTCAATGTTTCTCTCTCTCTTTCTCCCTCCCACTCTATCTGAACAAAAAAAATGGAAAAATGTCCTCGGGTGAGGATTAAATAAAAAAAGAATATATAAAAAAAAATTTAATGAAAATGATAAGCTAACTAAAAGTGAATAATAACAAAATATTAAAAGATGGAATGCAGTTAATGTTGACATTAGTAAATAATATATGGTATTAGATGTTTTGTATGTAAAAAGAAAGGCCAAATACCAAATAGATAAATATCTAATTTGTAAGGTTAGAAAAAGCAAACAGAAATAAACCAAAATTTAGAAGAAAAAAATTAAAAAATAAGACATCAGAAACTAATGTGATATAAAAGGGAAAAAATAAAAAATTAACAAAGACTTGCTTCTTTATAAACACAAAATAAATAGACATACCAAAAGAATTATTGAGCAAAATTTATACTAAATAGGTTTAAAATCATGAAAAATAAAAACGAATTCTATTAATAAGTAAATACAAAATATATAAAAAAAATGGTCATAAATGCTTATGTAGCAGAAATTAAATGATGGTCATATTATAAATAACTTTATACTTAATTCCACAGCTATACATTTACCTAAACTATATCTTAAAATAAATATTTTCTACCTTGTAGAAAGTTACAAAATTCATTTAAAATATTAACATAAAATAAGCATTAAGTCTAGATATTTGTCCAGGTAAGTTATATCAGTCATTCAAAATGTTTATTTCTATGCATATATTTTAATATTATTAACACTAAATTAATATGACGGAAAGAAAGAATGCTCTAAAACCGTTTGTGAGTACATATGGCTTTTAAATAATAACTAATTATAGGCAATATGTGGAAGGAAAATTCAGATCAGTTCACTCATAAATCTAGATGCAAGGTTCATGTAATTTTATCTTAGGTTTGCACAATTAAAATGTGTTTACAAAAATCAAGGCGTGCTCTGGCCGGTTTTGCTCAGTGGATAGAGCATTGGCCCATGGACCAAAGGGTCATGGGTTTGATTCCCAGTCAAGGGTACATAACTGGGTTGCAGGTTCAATACCAAGCCCTGACCAGGGTGTGCGGGAGGCAACCGATAAATGTGTCTCTCTCACATCAGTGTTTCTCTCTCTCTTCCTGTCTCCCTTCCACTCTATCTAAAACTCAATAGAAAAATATTCTCGGGTGAAGATTAACAACAACAACAAAATCATGGAAAATTTAATACAGATTTCCAAATATCAAAATATGTCTATATCCCTCCCATCTAACGCCTTTACATAAACCCCACCTTCAACAGGCTCCTTGTATATCAATAAATTTCTCTTCGATCAGTTGGATTATCATGGTTTATTTGGATTCCTTTTCACTGTTTCAAAGTATAAAATATGCCCCAAGGCAGAAAGCAGGAGAGATTGCCCTTTTTGTTTCCCATGACTCAGTGATCACAGTCTTCAGTGAGCTATTTCTAATATGTAAGAGTTTTTCCTTATATATTTTGCTTGCTTCTTGAGGTTTGCAAATATGAATCCATTGCAGGTACCAGTTTTCTTTATTTGGTGGAATATAGATTATACATACATGTATTATTTTTAAATAAAATATTGATAAATTTATGTGCCACAAAATAGTAACTGGATTAGCTTGACATGCACACTGTACACATACACACATGCACACACATATATACATATATCACTAGTTGAATTGCCAACAGAAAGAGAAAACTCTGATAGTTTGATAAGAATGGTAGCATAGACATAAGCAAGAGCATAACATACAGTTTTTCTTATATATCTGATGATCCTTGTGTATCTATTTTATTGTTATGATGACTTCTTGAGTGACATGATAAAATGTCCTGCATCAACACATATAGGAAATAAGAATGGAAACCTTTGCATAAAAGCTAGTCTTAAGTGCTACACTCATAATTAAAATATAAAAATAGGAAAAAAAAAAAACAAACTGAAAAAAGCAAAGAAAATCATCTCATTTCACCATTATCATGAGTGGGAGTAAAAAATTCTCCACAAGCAAATTTTCACAAAGGTTTTAATCTCAGATCATATCATTTGCATGGTCCAATATACACAATAAAGAAATTTAAACTTTTCTTTCTTTAACATCCGGTAAAAGCAATTACTGATCATTAATTTCTCTGAATAAATGCATGGTCAACTATATATAAAGGTAAACTTCCAAGGTACTTATGTTACATTGCTCCTCACATAAAAATATATAAATCTTAAGACATAGCTAAATAAGGCACTATGAGTGAGAGTTGTATAAAAAAATGACAATACATTTCACAAAGATTGCTTACATTCAAAATTTTGCCTTCAGATTTTGTAATAATATAACTAGGAAAATTAGATGGAAGCCATTATAGAATTCCACACATCAGCAACATGAAAATGTAGTTGAAGAATAGAGTGATAAAAGTCTTGTGATTGTTATTAGAACGAGACAAATATAATCAGAGTACCAGAAGGATACAATGAGAAAATAAGGAAAAAACATTATTTGA